GTTGGGACTGCAACTGACATGGTTGAAGTCACTGCTGGTCTGGGAGAAATAATGAATAATGGCTCTTGAATTTGAAAATACTCCGATAGTGTTTAAGTTCCCATGGTAACGAATTTACTGCAATTATTCAAACACTCATAATTTGGTAAAGTAATATTTTTTTTTAGCTCTGCTCTCGACTTTGTCAAGCAGAGCTTATCATACGAGTGGTTGACTGATGTACTTCGTGTCAACGTTTTACTTTTTTGACTTCTTGAAAACATACAAAACTGATTGCTTTGATACTTAGTGTATATGTACCTCATGTAGACCTAAATTTTTGGTAAAAAGTGATATTTTCGAATTTTTGTTAAAAAACGCAAATCTGATTGCTTTGTTATTATATATATTGGTACTACATGTGGACCTCTCAGATTTGTTCATTTCGTGATGATATCTCTCTAATTGAAATATGCATTGCCAACAGCGGTGCTATCTCAGTTGAGAGGCGGCTTGTTTGTATCACCAGAATATTTGATAATTGTGTTACATTGATGCCTAGCTAGGTCTTAACTATGAAGACAAATAGAAACAATAACTAAATAGTAGCTTGGAGTAGAAAAAATGAAATAACTGAAAAATACATTATTGTATTCTATATCACTCTGTCTGTGTCAAATAGCAAAATTTATTAAGCAATGTGATTCCCATTTAATTGATCTGACATTTCATTCTGGAGTTTTGTGGCTGCCTAGTTTTCGTGTGATGAGAACATCTGATTGTCGGAAGACATTATTTTACATTTTCTTCTTCTGCCAAGGCCATGGTTCTCACTTGGGTACTGTCAGTCACTTTAGAATGTAATTATCAGACATTCAATTTCTCCTCCTTTTTCTCTTTCTCTTTCTTTCAAAATGGCGAAAAAGTGTTTTGTGATTTCTTGCACACCTTTTCTTAACAGAAAACTAATAATTCACAAAATATTGTAAGTTAATATGGTTGAGATCAAGCATGCAAGTTGTTATAATATATGTAGCTTGTTTAATTGAATAGAATGAGTCATCTAATGTAATGCTATATCCCAGATTAGTAACATTCACATTCAAGGGCCAACACTTCATAATTCTCATTCAGGGCCACTACAAGATTCTGCTTTACAATTCAGTCAGGTTGATGAGTTGAGCTTTGAAAGATGTTAGTGAATATGATCTCAACAATACATTTTATTTTGAGTCAGAAAAAATAAAACACCTGCAGATTGCAATCAACCCTGAGGTTTTCATCCTAATTTATAAATGGATAAATAATTTCAAAATATTATTTGTAATAATATGAGGTTATTTTGAAGTATGCATGAAGATAGTACAGCGATAGTATCGACCGACACGCAACAGAGGTCGGTGCGGCCGCGTACTGTCTGAGTGCAGACGGTACTTTGCAGTATCCTCATAATAACCTTATTATTATACATTTTTTACTCCCAGGAATACATCATTGGAATGCCAAAATCCTAAACGTTTAGTACAGATTCAACAAACTTCTTTGTGTGGGGTTTGATCAAACCCTGGTGGCAGCCATGTTTGTTTTTTATTATTAAAGGACGCTTATGCGCGAAATCATTCCACATTTGGAATTCGCAATTTCTAATATGGTAGGATGAAAAATAACAATGCAATACCGCAAAATTACGACACGTTGTAATGTATGGCGTTACGGTAACAGATGTATAATAATATTTATTATTAATTGCTTATCAACTCCTTGTACTTTTGCTACCCATCCCTGCCTATAGACGACACATACTCTCAACTAAATGACATTTATATCTATGGTCAAACAAAGTTGTATTTTAATGATCCAGTGAACGTATTCAGTTTATACGTGCATCCATCAAATTATTAGAATTGTACAGGAAATAATTATACACAATTATTTATTGTTTATTTATATAATGTTTATTCTAGATGCTCTGCTTATAACATTATGGACAGTGATTCAGGACATTCACGCAGTAGTCACCATTCTACGCATTCTCATCGGAGTAGACGCAAGGACAAACATCGTGACAAGGACAGAGATCGTGACCGTGAACGAGAAACTGATAGAGAATCTGATAGGGAACATGGTAGACGACGTTCCAGATCACGTGATCGGCATCGGGACAGAGATCATGATAGAGATCGTGGACATGAAAGTGATGCAAGCCATCGAAGTCACAGAGTACGTGATAGGTCAGTTACGATACGCACACCGCCGATGATGACAGATGAAGAACGTCCTGAGGACGAGGTAAGTCTTTAGCACAAAATGGGAGTCTTTGCAGTTAGTGTGTGTGTATGTGTGTATGTGTGTATGTGTGTCCGACTGTTCCACTGCTATCTCAAGAACCATACATTGGTTTTTGATGAAACTTGGTGCATAGATGCTCTGGGCCAATGCGCAGATTTGATTAGGTTTTGGTAAAAATCCATGCTCGTTAATTACCTAATTTGCATGATAATTAGCTAATTTTTAGCTGTTCTATGACTGTTCCACTGATATCTAAAGAACCACTCATTGGATTTTGATGAAACTTGGTACATAGATGCTCTGAACATATGCGCAGATTTGATTAATTTTTGGTAAAAATCCGTGCATATTAATTACCTAATTTGCATGATAATTAGCTATTTTTTAGTGGTTCCATGACTGTTCCACTGATATCTAAACAACCACTCATTGGATTTTGATGAAACTTGGTACATAGATGCTCTGAACTAATGCTAGGTTTTGATTAGTTTTTGGTAATAATCCGTGGATACTAATTACCTAATTTGCATAATGATTAGTCAATTTTCGGTTTTTCCACTGATATCTCAAGTACTAATCATCACATTTCAATGAAACTTGGTACATAGATGTCATACGACACTGCACAGACCTGATAGTTTTTATGGTAATATCAGTACATATTAATTACCTAATTTGCATAATTAATTAATTTTCAGCATTTGATATAAGTAGTTAGCATTACATTTCAATGAAACTTGGTACTTACATACTCAAGGACTATGCAG